GGAATTCAAGGCTATATTAATGGTGTATGTCGAGGAGTCGTGATGTGGTCGCAGCGAAGGCTGTTCGTCTGGGCGGTAACGCACCACAAAGTTCATAAGCGAGCGCGGTGGCTGTAAATAAACAAAAAAAAATGTTTAATACTTTTTTCATATAACAAATTCAAGTTTCTAAGAACAATCAGCTCCTCTGCCACTTACGTTATGATAGTATCCCAAGAACGCCTTTTCCTGCAGTGGTCGCACAATGAAATCGAGGAACTTCAACCAGAGTGGATCAAGTCCCACCTGTTTCATGTGTATGTCACGTGTTGGCACCGCTTCGTAGCCGCCCTCTAGCCGACTATCTTTATTGCTGCCATCAGACCATTTGCCGAAATTTTCCACAATTGCTACCAAATCATCACAGAAGGCATCTGTGCCTACTTGGAACCAAAATACATCGGGACATGGTTGTTCTACGGTCGTATTGGGTTCCAATTGTTTAAAGTAGTTAGGATGTATGTACTTGCGTACCCAGTCGTACTTATTGCTGAATAGCGTGTAAAAATCGGGCCGAGCTACTGTAGTATCGAAGCCATCAGCATTCACCAAATGACCGTAGACATGTAGATTGGTGACATACATGAAGACGCCCTAAAGGAAAATAAATGGTGGAATGGATATTAGTATAAGGAATTTGTTTGTCAAAAAATAACAAAGCGACCTAACAGGTTGGTTGGTTTAAGTGGTGACAAGCAATTAGCAAGTTTGCCATTTTGATTCCATAACTCTTCCGACCCGCCCATAACAGTCTGCTGTGAAAAGTTCGTGTTACATCACGCAGAACCCAGTAATAACTATCAACTGCTTTGGTTCTACTAGCAAATGGTGCGCCTAGAAATACGCAACATTGGATGCTGTAGCTATATCTTTGTTACTTTTTTATTTGTATATGTGCACTTCTCAAACAGCTAAACAGGTGACATTTTTAGAAAAGCAAATGGGCTCATCTCTCGCTCTATCAACTATTTAAACTCGGACTAAAACTCTTTCTAAACTAAGACTCAATTTGGTAGATACGCAGATAATAAGAATAAAACCTAGCGAAAATATGAACCATTCGTGAAATTTTTAAGTGACTTAGAAAGTTAGAAAGTTAGAAAGTCAATTTGAAATTCGGCTGCCGATTCGGGCTAGTTATAAATCTTTTGAAGCTTGCATTTTGTCACTAGTGCAGGGCACAAATAAATGCTTTAACAAGTAGGAGGGACCTAGTAGATTCATCTGTGGCCATGTTTGATTAGGGTCTGCTAAACTACCTACTTTTGTGGAGATCCGTAAATCCATACTATAGTTCCGTTCATACAAATTAATTATAATCAATATTTTTCCTCCACTTTTAGAAGACGAATTCCTAATTAAATATATGTCCCAAAAGGTTAAGCGAAGTGTTGCCAGAATTTTTTTCAGCAATTCAGCTAAATGGACAAAAAAAGAGCTTAGTAAAATAATTGTTAGACTAAACAAAAGCTTAAAAATTAAAGGAAATTATAAATGCAATTTTCACAAAACACAGCAAATAGGTACATATTTCTTATATCCAATAACAAATAAATTTTAATTAAAAAAGCAGATTTTTGACAATTGCCCAATTAGGGAAAATTCTGGGCGGAGGTTGCTCTTCCGCGGAACTGCTTGGGCTTGTATTGTCTGCCTCGATAATACTCCCTTGGGGTGCAGGCATATAAACTTTCTTGAAATATGTATTGAATAGTAAATGTTAATAATTACATTCGAAAATGTATACCTTTCCATATTTCTTCAGTTTTGCAAATATTCAACAATTCACCCGCCAACAGAAAAATTTGCCTCAAGTATGTTAGTGATGAACATAGCATTGCAATAATCGATTATTTGTCCCCTCAAACACAGCTAAGGCCACATACAGTATAGGTAGGCATATGTACATACATCCAATCTGCGTTTATCGCTTTTTACAATTTTGTGAAGATTAATTGTTTATTCGTTGAATATTTTTATTCGTACTTTTCCTAAATTTTTAAAACATCTAGAAAGAGCTAAAAGATTTTCAGAAAAAAAGCTTAGAAAAGGCAGCTAAATTGGAACTTTTCTAGCTAAACGGCGAAAAAACAGCTTTTTCAATCTAGCTGAAAAATAACTAAAATGGCTACACTGGTCAAGATAGACCTAAATTCATCGGTGAAGATTGTACTAGCACAATGCTTCATCACTAAAAAGACTGCAACTTGGTCCACTGCAATAAATTAGGCGAGCGACTTGAGACATTTGTTACGGCTCTTAACGTTAGTGTTGTGTTTGCTGAGGAGAAGAGCAAGCTATGAAATATAGCTATAGGTACAAAATCCTGGACGTTGATTTCCTATGGGGAAGGATAGGAATCGTTGCAGTTAAGAAATGAGAAAGCGCGGAAAGAAATCTGTTATTTTGAGCACAGGATAACACACATTTCATCGTCCAAACGTTGTGGTAGAAAAATCAGGGAAATAGCATCAGAGGTTTTATTTCGAAAAATAAAAGACGATTGCTAGCCAAAAAATTTGTTAGCGAGGAAGCGGAAGGCCTAAATATCTTCTGGTAGTACTTTTCACTTTATGTATGCAATTTTGTACTTAGCTGGGTTCAAATGGTATGTGAAGTACGTGAATAGCAAGCCCTCGAGAGTTATCGGGCGATAAAACTCATCTTTGTAGACGGGTTTCCCAATTTTCATTGAGAGACCTTAGTGGGATAGTCTACGCATGTTTCAACCCCAACATGCCTATGTATATATTGTCAGAGCGGAAGACTTTGAAGGCTTTGGTACCATAATTTCGGAAAGTAGCATCTAGGTTTTTGACGGCTAGTGCAGACTTCTGATCACACGACGCTTGGCTTTATCTATCAACGGATACAGTATACATAAGTTTTCAGCTAAAATAACTCGCACATTCCCTTACTTCCAATGAGGGGCGACTACCGAAAGAAATAATCAATCTCTCATCAGGGCTCGCGGTTAGCTATAGAGTAATCACACCAGCCTCGAGTTGTTGTTGTAGCGGCTTACTTAGCCCTGCCTAGATCGGTTTGTCGCTCAATCATTGTCGTCAAACTCAATTAAGGGAAGGCCCAGCAAGCGTGCCACCCCGACAGGATAGTACCAGAGGAAGAGGGATGTTGCGTTGTGGTAGTGCGGGTTAGGGTGGTCCTTAAAAATCAAATGAAGGACTTTTTCAGTCTCACCCCCTCTATCGGTAATACCACAGTCGCAGATATCACATATAAGTTTTGGTCCCGATTGGAGACGGTTAAAGCGTATCGCAGAGGGAGCAAAGTACAGATTCCACTATATAGACTCATTAAAATTAATATTTTTTCATCTAATATCCAAAATCGATAATAACATAGTCGAAGATATCACATATAAATTTTGTTTCCGATTGGAGTCGGTTAAGGCATGTCGCAAAGGGGTCAAAGGCCAGATGCCTCTATGGACTTTTTTTTGGTCCCAATTGGAGTCAGTTAAGACGTTTTCATAGGGTATGAACTTTTACCCCTCTGGCCCACGCCTTCACCCGACCGAATCGGGACCAAAATTTGTATGTCATAACTTCGGCTATGGTAGTATCGATTTTGGATATAATAAGAAAAAAATAATAATTTTAATTTTTTGACTTTCCATAGAGGAATCTGCTTCCTTTGTTTAAGGACCACCCTAGTGCGGGCCTCCCGCGGCAGTTGAAGTTCTGTTTCGTCAAGGGTTGGTTTTAGTTCTCCTAAAACGGCATTCACAGATCGGGAGTTGGTGTAGTTTGAGACAGACTCCCTGTGGATGCCGTTTATGACTTGTCTGTACACAGTCAGACCCAGTGGTGGCACCAAGTATTGCCGGACATCATCCTTTAGTTTGTGGAGATGCCTTCTGACGTGCCTTAGGCAGGTGTCTGTGCACCATACCGCGGGTCGTCTTCTTTACTTCTTTATATATTTGCTAAGTAAATAATTCTGTGCAACCAACGGTCAGTTTTTGATATTTCTATAAATGACTTTTTAAAATTCACAGCCAACAAAAAAAATTGATTGCAAAACCAATGAACACGCTGCTAATCACGTTTCGCCGCGCACCATCAGTGCAGTTGTCCTCAAGTATCATGTTACACACTTGTTTGTATTTATGCTTTTACTTACAGCTTTGCGTAGCGATTCGCACATTGCCATATCGGGGTCATAGTCTCGCTGCTGATACGAGATATATTTGAATGCGGTGCTCTTAATCAGATAAACACTGGACACATAGGGGACATTCCACATGCCACTAAAATGAAATGCAAAAGAGAATACAAACGAAATTAAATAATTTTAAGTATACAAGCAATGCAAAAGAATAAAGATGTGTCTAAATATGGAACAATGCTGGAGATGATGATATGAGTGTTGAGAAAAAATGTGATGCAAAGAAAAAATAAAATAACGGAAAAAAGTTAAATGTTGCAAAAATACACAAAACAGCTGCATATATACTATATATATATGTCCGTATGTGTTGAGTAGATGCAGGAATCAAAGAACAAATTCATCTGAGTGGACGCAAACAAGGGGACACAAATAAAAAATTTGCGTATTTTTTCGCAAAATGGCAAGTAAACAAATTCATAAAGCAGCCAATGACACATAGAGCCAACGCGAAATCGTCATCATCACTACGAAGGATATGGGGGTGCCACAGCGGGTATGAAAGAGTAAGTGAGTGAGTCTAATTTTCTTCTTTTTTTTGTACTAGAGGGCAATTTATTAATTTACCGCCAGAGTGTAAACAACCTATAGCCATTGAAGGAATTAGTGTATGCTGGATGCCACTAAAGCGGTTATTCGCCAGTGTGACAATTGAAATTGTGGGAGCAGAGCATAGCAGCATAGGTGGGTGTACTCGCATGTATGTATGTCCATACGTATATGTACATATATGTATGCAAAGAGAACGTTGTAGCATTATGGTGATGATGATAAAGACGACGACGCACAGTTGGATCATGCATTTCGCGCGGTCAGTCAGTAGTTGCAGAAACATGCCGTTGAGCTAACATACGAAATACAGTGCAGTGATAGTTAGTTGAAGGAAAGCAATTTTTGTATGAAAAAAAGTTGAAAACATAATTGGAAATTCAAATTGAATATTGCTTAAAAGAAAAAAGCGAAATTGGATAAAAAATAATAAAGTACAAAAATTGCATTAAAAAAATTGCAAAACGCCAAACGGACTATAAAAGTTTCACAAACAATAGTTACAAACAAAATTTTACCCTAAGAGTATTTGGTTATAAATATTCAACAATATTATCATTAAAAAGATGCGCATTGCATTTAGCAGCAGTTTTATTTACGTCTGTTTGATTTTAACAAATTTGTTGTTGCTGTGCGACAGCGAAGCGCAACGTAAGTGAATGAAAATTGCAGATAAATATCTAAGAATTAAATAATAATTTACTAAAATTATATTTTTGAAAAACTACAATATTACTAAAGAGAAGCGAGGAAAGTTTGATGGCAGTTCAAAAAACTTAAAATTTGTTTTTAGGCATAAACATTAAAAAAAGATTATATGACAAACTCGTCATTTTTAAGTTTATGCCTTGAGTTTTTTAAGCAAAAGATCGAGCGTTGTTTAAATATAAAAAACAAGTACCTAAAAAAATATACGAGTATATAAAACCAAAATTTAAAAGTTAGAAGACAGAGGAAAGTTTCAAAACAATAGTGAAATATTTTATAAGCAAAAATGTTTTAGAACTTAAAAAAATCAATTGAAGCTTTCAGTGAAATCAAATTTTTTAATTTTTGTAAATAAAAAACAAGCTTTAAAATCGAATAAAATTATTTTTTTTTTAATATTTTCAAAATCAAGAATATAAGTTTTAAAAACGGATAAAAGTACATTTTTTTTAATTTTTTCGAAGTTAAAAATATTAGTTTTAAAAACCAATAAAAGCTATATATATATTTTTAATTCTTTCAAAAATATAAGTTTTAAAACCCGAATAAAAGCTATAAATTAAAAATATAAATTTAAAAAACGAACAAAAGTTATGATTTCAAGAAGGCATAGCACTTTTTTTCGCAAAAAACAACTATAACCAAAAAGCTTTAGCTTAAAAATTTCGATTGGATTGGATTGGATTTTTTAAACAAAAGCACATTTCTTAAAGAACTTTCTTTTTGCATTTAAAAAAAAAAATTATTAAAAAGGAAGAAAACTACTAAAAATACCTAATCATTAATTTTGGAAAAAGATATACATACATATGTACATTAGAGCGTACCACCTTAGAAACAAACAAGCAAAAAAAAAGTTCGCCGTACGTCGCTGAATATATTTACATGCAGGTTCCGCAATTCATTTTCTAGTGAATTTCAACCCCTGGCAATTTGAATTCAAAGCGAATTTGACTCAAATTCACTCGGAAGTGAATTGCAGAACCTGCCCGATAAAGTATTTCGAAAAAAAATCCGAACCTAGCTTCCGCCTAAAGAATTTTATTAATAATTTATTAATAATGGAATAATCGAAAAAGTTCCTTGCAAAAGCTAATGATTTTTGGTGAGCTTTAATTTCCTGCCACTAGGGTGATACGTCGGGATGATAAAAACTGAGATCAGGTAGGTAAGTACTGGAACGGAGTACTTGAGGTCAATGAACTATGGAGCCAAAACAAATTTTTTACTCGATACAAAAACAACGATATATCAAACTTTAAGTTCCAACCATAAATGGTGAAGATATGAGGAAAAATTACAAAATGCTATCCCTACGTTCGGCGAAAAAAAATCTTAAAAAATTGCTTTGGAAAAAGACTTTTGATTCGAAGCTGTACGACGAACCTTTTTTCTGATACGGTCTACCGCTTAAGCTATCCAGCTACAAAAATCGAATGAAAATTTATTGAATGAAAGAATTTTTAAACAATACTATTGTAATTAAAACATAAGCTTATGAAATTTTCTCGATAAAAAAGAGATGCGAAATATTAATATTTGAATATTAATTTTGCAAAATAATATATAGTTCAAGATTTCGAAAAAAAATCTTAAATGAAAACAAGACTTGAAAAATAAATTTCTTGAAACTCAAAATAAGCTTTTGAAAAAACAAAATAATTTACAAAAAAAAACTTAAAATTCTAAGGTTTCAACTCTAATTTTGTACAAATATAATTTAAAAGTTCTACCTCTTTACGAATTCTAGAATATTTTTATTAAAAAAATAAGAAGAAAATATTGATTTATGCAGAAAACCCCATTGATTTTAATTTTAACTATATTCTTTATATTCTTTTTAACTTTCTACTTTTATTTAATTATTCTTTTATTTGTTTTTCAACATTTTTATTGTTTTTTTTTACTTTATTTCTAACTTTTTTGTACTTTTTATATATTGGGGAGCCGAAAATCATGAAACTTTCCTATCATTTTCTATGCGAAATTTCAATTTTTCGATTCGTACGCCTCATTTTTATTATTTTTTTTTAATTTGCTAAATCTTTTATTTTTGACATTTTTTCAAATTTTTTAAATTTATTTTATTTGAACAAATTTTAATATCTAAAACTTGATATTTGATGAAAAGATTAAAAAATATAATTTTACGAAAGCAAAATGAAGCTCTAACGCCAACTCCAAGTCAAATCCGTACACATTGCTTTTCATTCCTAATTTTACGTCTTTAATTTTTCATTTTTATTTTATTTAAAATAAATAAATAAATAAATTATTCATTTTTATAAAAAACCCTTTTCTCACTTTTCCCCTCTCTTCCCAGGAACCGTTGGCGCACGCGGCGTGCTGCGCAGAAATTACACAGGCAAAAAACCGGTTGTGATACAACATCGCTCACAGGATGCCGTCAATTATTACGATCATGAAAATGTAAAATACAACAATTTGTACTCAAACTACATATATTTCAATAAAATTATTTTTTTAGGGCGCTAAAATTATAAAATCATCCCACTTTGAATTGGACTATACGCTGGGACGGAAAATCACATTCTTTTGCATGGCGCAGGGCAAGTGAAACTCTGTTTTATAAAAGATTAATCTATACTAAAAAATGGGGTATTAAATTACAAAATTTCATCAGTCGCATACAATTTTTGATTAGGGCTTTTTTAGGGCACCCAAAAATACATAACTTCAGCAGCTCAAGCTAAGTTAAAATAAACTTCATTTTTATCTTCAACAGGCAATCCACGTCCCACAATCACTTGGTTCAAAGATGGCGCTGAATTGTATCAGCATCGATTTTTCCAGGTGAGTTCAGGAAAATTCGAAGAACTAACGGTCATTACTGCATGAAATAATTTGCTTAAAACGTATTACTTAATGAATTCACCTACTATATTTCTTAATTGTTGCTACCCTTGCACAGGTGCACGAGTCCCACATTGATGCCGATATTATAAAATCTAAAATGGAAATCGATCCGACCACACAAATGGATGCAGGTACGTCTACCATTTTATATTACCACCTTATTCTTCATTCATTTTGAATAAACTCTTCATTTCTACTAATTTACAGGCTACTACGAATGCCAGGCGGATAATATTTACGCCATCGATAGACGCGGTTTTCGCACGGATTATGTTATGATAAATTTTTAGTATAGCAGTAATTTACTTATTGTATAAATTGAAAATTTTCTAGAAAACTAAAATCTTCCGCGCATACGAATGCAAATGCATACAATTCTAAACAATTTTCTACGTTTGTTTGTTTGATGGAATAATTTGCCTGATCTAGTGGAACATTTTGATTCAAACCTTTAGCGCGGCAATTCTAAATATGCAGCGCAATTTTGTTTAATATACAATATCGTCAACAAACAAATGAGCTGAGCTTATTTTAAACTTGCCCATGGATACAGTCTTACGCAGATTTCCTATGTCGTCTATCAGCAACTACGTGTACTATAAACCTAGATTCGTTTTATTTTTTGCAGTACGAGAGCGTTTGGCGACAAATTGCTTCAATTATTTAATTCAGGAGATTTTTCAGTTGACCGCTTGGATTGTTATTGCTGCTTTAGGTCGGCTAGGGCAGTGAAGGGGATGTGTATTTTTTTTTTTTTTTTTTTTTTTGAATGTGTGAAAGAGTTTATGGGGTTAAGCGAATAACAGTGGAATTATTCTTGTAATTAGCGAAGCAAATTGGATAAAAAAATATTATTAAGAAATAAAATTGGTACAAAAATTTAAAAAAATACAAAAATAAAATAAAAATATTTAAGGTTAAAAACCCTTGAAAAGCATAAAATATTAAAAATAAGAATTTTGAAAAATAAAAACGAAAATAGTAAACAAAATTTGCATTTGAAATTCAAATTTTTTATAAAACCTTGAAATGAAGTTATACAATTTAATCCAAACGTTTCATTGATCAAAAATAGTAACGTAAAAAACTGGAAACAGCAGCATTCGAATATGTATGTTATTGAGTTATCGCAACGTATCGAGTTGTCGCAATTTGCGGATAGTTATCGAGCTATACAAATTTATGGGATTAATGAAATTTGTCAAGTTAATGAAATTTATCAAGTTATCGATATTTACTAAATTATCATTATTTATACAGCTAACGAAATTTAGAGTTATCGTAATGTATGGACTTCTTTCAACTTATCGAGTTACCGATATTTATTGATGTACTCGAATTTGTTGATTTATCGAATCGAATTTTTTTAAATTTAAAAACTATATCGAGTTATCGGAATTTTATGGTTATAGAAGTGTTTCGAGTTATCACTGGTTATCGAATTTGATTGTGTTACTAGAGGGTAGCGAGCTATCGAAATTTTCCGATAGCTATCGAAAAATATGGAGCTATCAAAATTAACCGAGTTATCGAAATTTATATTTGTATCGAGTTATCGATTTATATCGAGATATATACATTTTTGAGTTATTGAAATTTATCGAGCCCCCAAAATGCACAGTTATCTAAATTTATCGAAAATTATCAAATTTAGTCGAGTTATCGAATTTTATTGAGTTATGGGATTTTAGTGTTTTTGAAATTCATTAAATTATCGATATGAATAAAATCATAGAAAATTTATCGACAAGACCTTCAAAGTTAGAAAACGTCTCCAAGGGTCTTAAAAACTAGAAAAACGGTCGAATTTCGACAGTAACTGGCACCCCTAATAAACTATAAATATTCTAACAAGTCCTAAACTAATGAAAAAAATATAAGGCGACTTTTTGGAATTCCTATAAAATAATCATTCGACCACCTAAAATTGTGCTATACAGGTGTTGTGGATATTTTATAGTTAATACTTATGTAAGTACCTTACCACAGCCACAAATCATTCGAAACAAATTAGTTGTAAATCAACAAAGTTAATCACGAGCGCTTTTACTACCCAGTAGATAATATCAGGAGCTAAAATCCCTTCCGGAAGTCTTTTTTGAGAATCACTATGCATTACTTTCACCTTTCTTTTTTGTTTGGAGTGGCATAAACTGAACGGCTTTTGCCGAAAAGTTCCCCTGTGCTTTCAAATGTTCAGTTTGAATTGTGTGCAAGCAGCAAGTCGACTGCAATTAATTTCAACTACTTTAAAATGAATTTGGTTTACACAACTTCAAAGTCAGCATGTTTCTTTTGAATACGCTTGCGTTCTGGACTTCACAGATGCTTTTTCATACTTCCAAGACACAAATTGTTTTTTTGAGCAAAAGGAGTATACAAATTCGAGACATTTACTTATTGCATTTGTTTTAAAGGAGTCTTGCCACTCATTTTGAGGCAATCTTGAGTCTTAACGCCCAAATATACACAGGTATCATTCCCTTACGTCAGGCCATAGCTATCATTTCAAACTATTTTTAGTACCTGAAATCGCTTAAATTAATATGCAACACACTGTGCTGCAAAGTAGTTGAAACCGAATTGAAAAAAAAAAACATACATAAATAAAAATTGCAAATTTAAAATTACCCGCACAACTAAACTAAAAAGCGGATAGTTGGCACTTGTTATTTCATCTGCAAAGCTTGCATAGAAATATTGAGAATATTCTATAAGCACCCCACATGCACATGGATAGCATGGACAAGAGTACGAAATGAGATATCCAGCTGCAAATATAGATAGGTGCAAAAGTGTAGACAAAAAAAAATTACACTACACCCCTACTAAATTGTTTGTAAATTTAAGCAGCAACATGCTGCGCAGCATTACGAGACCCTACCATCATCTCTCGGTCACATGCAGCAGCTAGCGCATCATTAACATTATTCTCTTCTTTTTTTTGCTTTTTTGGGTTCAGACTCGAAAGGCTTAATTCATTGCAAATGCAAAATATTTTATGCGCTTAGTCGTATTTATTTAGTTGGAGCGTACAGAAAGCGTTACAAGGCGGCAGCGATCGAAACGGGCGAGCGTACAGCGCGTTAAAGTGTTAGCACACTCGAGCCGAGCCGAAGCGAGCACCGAGCCGTATAGAAATTCAAACAAAACATTAAAAATTTAATTAAATTTGCAAGAAAATTTAGCACGCACTTTGAATACTTTGTATTGATAGTAGTTTGAGAATTTTCAGCTAAACAAGTGCGAAGAAATTAAAAAAAAAAAAAATATATATATAAATATCACTTCCACTTTTAATCAATTGCTACAAAATAATGAATGTTAAATTGCTCGTGATTTGTCTGGGTGTGTTAATGTTGAGCTGTCAAGTGTGTGATGGCCGACGTGGACGTGGCCGAGGACGCACCAAATCGAGAGTATGAGTTTCAAAAAAAATATGAAAATATTTAGTGTTTAAAAAAAAATTTGTTGTCTATAATTCGCAGGTACAAATTGGTTTACCCATAACAGGCAAATATCGTGATCCTGAATCGGATCAGTATTACAATAATAACAATGTAAGTGTAAGCTGAAGTGATTTGAAATCTTTTATTCACTTTTCTGTGGATGCAATTAGAAAATTTTAATAGTTCAATTTAATTTTGTAATGTAATAAACACTTGCATATTGTTATGAGTGAAAGGCAACATGCAAGGCCACGCTCTGCTGCTAATCATACGAAAACAACGAATTTTGATAGCTACATCCTCTCTTTGCAGGGCGCAAAAATTCTACAAGCCTCACATTTCGATTATGAATACGTTTTGGGTCATAAAATCGCTTTTCTTTGTGTGGCTAAAGGTAATCCGCGTCCACACATCACTTGGTATAAGGATGGCACGGAGATTTTTCAACATCTCTACATGCATGTGAGTATAATTACATATACGCCGTTTCAAGACCTTAAATTCAGTTTTTTTTTTGGTTTTATGTTGTTTTTGCAGGTGCACGAGTGGCGCATTGGCGATGATAGAGTGAAATCGAAAATCGAAATCGATCCAGCCACACAAATGGATGCCGGGCTCTATGAATGCACCGCCGATAATATGTACTCGATAGATCGGCGCAGCTTTAAGACAGATTTCTCGATTGCTTTCGATTAAGTTAGGGAGTATTTACATTTTTATAAGTCTATACAATTTTTCATACTCAGTTGCATATGTAGCATATTTAAGAAAAATAAGAGTACTAAAATAAAATAACAAATCGAGGGCTGATATTCAATACCCTCTATCTGCAAAACCTCAATTTTTCAGGAGAGCAAAAAAACTATTTTGACAGCTATTTTTAAAAGTATTAATAATTTTAAGTCCCTACGCATGTCTTAAAAATTCACGCTATATATTAAAACTAGGATTTTACCTTTAATTCATTCATTCATTCATTTTATTTTAGTTTCAAAATCAGATAGAGGTTATTGCAATTCGAATTGTAACTATTTATATAAAAAAAATGTGCTGATAGCGGGTTTTGCAGAATAATGAAAATGTCAGTTCTTTAGATGTAAATGTTATGTTAAACTAAGTTTTTAACACATAAATCATTGGTTTGCAAACTCGTTCCCTTCTATTCCGACGTGCCCAGGTAAACACATAATTTTAATGGTGTTTTTGTGTCGAAAGAGTATTTCACGTGATTTCGAAATTATATGAGAATCATTAGCACTGTTAAAGAGTGTTTCGATGGCTGATTTACAGTCCGTGCATATGAGGAAATTTCCTTCGTTTTTAGAGGCGAAAGGTACAGCTTCTAGCAATTGTAAATGCCGAGCAGTACGCGGGAAAAGCACCGACGACAATTGTAAACCCTTTTGTTAACGTTAAAGAACAGTCGGTATCGTATCTGTGAAAAGAAGCTCCAAGATTATTTATGAGTATGGAACTGGGCAAATGTCCTTGCGGTAGAGTTTTTACTTAAATAGGCATCGGAGTAGATATGATGTCCAAATCTTTGATGTAGCGTAATATACGAAATAAACCTGATTGCTTGCTTCATTGGTTTTTTTGTGGAAAGCAGGATTAGACGTCAAAGAATAAGGTCTCATTTCTGCAGCGAACAATCTTTAGGATGAGCATCTTTGTGCTGTACTTTACCCCATGGTTATGGTTCTTCTGACTGCTGCATGGTAAGGAGTTTAAGATACTTTTGGGCAGTGTCCGTAAATTACGAGTACAAGGTAAATTGTTCATAATATAATTACATTTACCAGTGTAGTTATATGAACTAAAAAATACTTGGATGATAAAAACTTTATAATATTTAGTCTAGCAAGTAAGCCTAATCTTACATTATCACAGTGCTGCTTAAAAGTAAGTTTATTGTCAAAAATTATTCCCAATATTTTCAATGTGTCAGTATAGTGTATAGGAGTGTCATACACGGATAGGGTTGCATGTATACATTTGTGTTTTCTGCATATGTGAAAAAACCGAAATCTTAGCCCTTGAAGATTTGGACCAAACAAACTTTCCCAGACGCTATATTGAATAAAATAACCAAAAGTGGTGATCCTTGTGGAACACCATTAAAGAGAGGAACAGTTTTTGAATAACAGTTATTGACCCGAACAGCGAACTTCCGGTTGTAAAGGAAATACTTAACAACATTGTACATCCTCTCACCATTTTTACAGCGTAATACTTTAGATATGGAGGGGAGGAGGGAAATGGGTCTGTAGTTAGAAACTAATGAATTTTTTTCTATTTAGTTTGGCAATAGGAATAATAATAGCAGTTTTCCACTCTTGGTGACCCTTGAGATAGAATGGAGTAATAGAGTTTAATGGCTCTATGTTTGACGGGATATGGAAGATTTTTTTGTTGTATCAAATTTGTTTTCGGTTGGACAGATATGTCGCATTAGGTAGAACTAGTTTAGCCTGGGCAAAACTAGTTTGACCTAAGATTGGATTTTACCGGTAACATATATGTACATACATACATACATAGGCACTTGTAACTTACTTGCCACAAAAACGTTAATAAAAATAAATTTCCAGCAAGATTGTGTAGATGGAGGATTTTGCTCTTATAGCAAAATATTATTGCAGAAAGTGGAATTTTCAAAATAAGAATATAATACCATTAAAGCTATATTTTAAGTTTGACATTATTGTCATGGCTGAAGGATTAATCGGAGCTCACGTTACCATCAAAAACTCATTTTCATCGAAATTGCAGATAGAGGGTATTGAATATAAGCCCTCGAAATGTACATATGTATGTACGTAGGAGTTTGTTGCATGAGTTGTGCATTTTTTTCTAAAACAAATTTTAATAAAAAGCCAACCATTTTACTCACGTAAATGAGCCCTTCACAATGTCCACGTAATCATGTGAGCGCGCATAGTAGCCACCATCAGAGAGTGCACCCCAAAAATTGCTCCATAATTCATCGTACTTGCTCACCACTGGCGCAACGAATTGTCTGACATGAAATAAAATAATATTAGCTTGTTTTACTAAATAGGCAATTATCTTAATCAAAAGTAGGCACCTATTCATTATTAATAATTCGCGCAGCAATTGTGGATCATCCACTTGCACAGCAGCATCCACAAAGAATATATAATCGCATTGTTTTTGTTTGGCTTGTTGTCTGTGCAGTAAAAGAATACAAATTAGTAAAAAGTGAAAGCACACATTGTACAGTGAAACCTCGGTATAGCGAAGTTGAAAGGGTTGGACAAACGATTCATTATATCTATGGTTTATTGAATAACCAACGAAAAATTCAGAATTTTGGAATTTTATAACGTGACTCTAACCGTCAACATGTTCAGAATTCGCTATGTAGAGGCTATTGAATCCACATTGCGTTATATAGAGGCTATTGAGTCGACACTTCGTAATATAGAGGCTTTTACCAATGGGACTTTAACCGTCAATATATTCCGAACGTTTTCATGTTTAAAATTTCTTCATAATATCTATGGAAAATTTTGCAAAATGAGGTTTTTTTTTCAGGAGACCCAGCAAAAATTTTGTATATTAAAGTTTTCCGTTTTATCAAGGTTCGTTATATCGAGGTTTCACTGTATATTAAATCTTACAGTGCTAGCTCGCGACCACGCTGCTCATTCAATTCATCGTTGGACAGCACAATCTTTGCGCTGCGATATTCATGCTCCAGCCGCTTCAGGAACGATTTTGCCATATCATCGTGGAGTTTTTGCTGTTATTGGAAGGCATTATTTTTACATATACTGAAAATAAAAATTATAAACATTGCAGCTCATACTGACGTTACTGTAAATATATAAATGCAATTTCTCCTTAGGATAGTTGAGGTCTTCGATTTTCTGCAAAAACATATCGAAGAAAGGCACTGCTTGTGCAATTACGAGCGCTAGCGAAATTACGGGTAGGTTATTTTCCTGTAAACATTCGTATTTAAAAATACTTCTAAAGCTGCACATAAACACACACACTTACATCCAATTCCAGCCGATTTTCCTGACATATCAGACAATCTCCCTTGAAAGTTTTCGCCAAATAATTAGCGAATGCATTCAATTCCATCTTGCTGGGTCCATTTCCATGTATAATGCTCGGTTCAGTCATGAAATTAATATTCTGCAATTTACCCTCATTCGAGTCCAAATCCACATTTAGCTTAACATCTTCACGCGCGCCATTCAAATTCTGGAACAAGCGTGATTGCGTATCCAATTGTATTCCCAGCTTTTTGCGCTTTTCCGTATCAAGGAATATTTTCGTATAGTAGCGCTGATCATCGTCATCATCCTTTATTGCGGCGTCACTTAAAATGCTATAGACTTCCGGCGCATAACCGATGAATGCGCCTGAGTTGAGGTAGGGCGATGCGTTGGCCTCTGAAACCGGTGGATATTTTGAGGCCAATTTTTCATCAGGCCAACAGAATTTCTCTGCAGAGAAGAGCACTTTAGCGCCGAATTCTTTGAATTTCTGATAGATTTCCTTAAGGTCGGCAGTGAAGACGACATCGTAGCTACGGATGGTAAGAGAGGTTGGGAGAGTAATGCAAAATTAAATGCGTGAACATATTAAGGAAAAAATTATTAAAGTAAATACCTGTCGGTGAATAAGATAATTGCATCTTTTTCATCCTTAAATGGCTTGACAGCTTCACGCAGCAAACGTATTTTATAACCGCCACCCAAGCCATTCATATCGCCACCTTTCCACTCCTCATCCATGCCGAGGGTATTGACCTGTAAGCAAATCAAAGCAAAATAAGCGAATGTTTTGTTTTGAAATTTGGGTCAAGAGGCTAATACATGCATACATATACAGACATAAATACATACGTACATATGTTGTCTAACCTAATAAAACTCTGCTTATTTTATATTATATCAGCTTTTCTATTAAATAACTCAGCTTACCGTATTCAACTACTTATACTATTGCAACTATTATTTTTTCTTCAAAAGCTATAAATTTCAGATATGTACGTATCTGATGGAGTGCAATAAACTTAGTTTTTGCAACCTGAGGAGTTTTTATGCAACCAGTTCAATTTGTAAACATTGATTTAAACCAATACCGTCTTCACAAACACTATTCAAATACGCTTGAGGCGTGTTTTTAGCATTTTATTTTGCAAATGAGTTTAGAGACCGTTATATATATGTACATATAAAAACAACAATCAAGATTATTGAATGAAATTAACGTTTTATGGAGTCTACAATTTTAATGGTGGAAAATACGTCCCTTCCTGTTCAGTTCTTGATTGAAATGATGAATATAGAAAGAAATTTGGTGTAAAAAGAAAGGAATCTATTATGTTACAAATATCCAGAAGACAGTTGGGCCACAGAGGGTTAATTGACGTTCATCGAAACTTTTGCTGTTTTTTGGCATCTTAATTCATTGCTGACCATCTCATTTAGGTCAGTTACATGGGAGGTTAAATACCATTTCTTACTCAACACAGTTCATGCAGATTCTAATGGTGACTTCGTTTCTTCCAAAAAATTTTGCCTTTCCACGGTGCAAAATTTGTTTGATGTTACACTCAACCCTGTAAAAGCGCATGTTTTTTCCTCTTGTCCTTGTCCTGCTCAGTACTTCATAATATTGTCGTTTTAAGAAACCATCTGATTTTCAGGGCAACCTTCTCCCCTGGCGAAGCTTCAAAGGGCAGAGAAGATGTTTTTTTTGCCTGACAAGAGTGTGACATTTTAAGAAACGAACGCACAATTTTAGCACCGTTTGCCTTTATTTTAAAATCGAACACGAAAAGAGAAAGGGGCAATCAAAAGGCGACATTTTGGTAGAACGAAAACACCATAAAGCTCTGAGCTTTGCAGTCAAAATTTATAAAAATCAAATACTTGAAGTTTTTTATGATATTCTATTA